CCTTGACTCGGGTGCTTCCCGCTCCTTCTTTCACGACTGCACCACACTCTTGCCGCTCAGTCGGCCGGTGGCAGTCTCTCTGGCTGACCCCTCTGGGGGTCCGGTCCTTGCACACTCCTCCACGGTACTGTTGTGTCCGACAGTCCCGTCTGGCTCTTTGTCTGGCCTCCACCTCCCCTCTTTCTCCACGAACTTGGTGAGTGGAGCTGACCTTCAGGATGCGTGGGTTGACCAGTTCACTCCTGGAGGTCAGCGGGTGACCCACTGTTCGTGTACTTGGACGGGCCGGCACCTGGCCACGTTCACTCGTCAGCCTGGATCGAGCCTGTACACCCTGACTACCGTGCCTCCTCCGGTTGCTTTGTCTAGTCAGGTAGCCGCGTCGGGTCAGGTGTTTGCTGTAGCGTCCCAGTCTGGTCCTGAGTCTGCACTCTGCTCGTGTCGCCTCCTGTCTCACCAGACTCTTCTCTGGCACCACCGCCTTGGTCACCCCTCCCTGCCTCGTCTCCGAGGCATGGCCTCCCATGTCCTTGTCACTGGTCTTCCCCGGTCTCTCCCTCCCCTCCCCCCGGGGCCTGCCCCTACCTGCGTTCCTTGCGTCGAGGGGCGGCTGCGCGCCGCTCCTCACTCCTCCAAGTTCCCTCCAACTGAGGCTCCCCTGCAGACTCTTCACATGGACGTGTGGGGCCCCGCCCGCGTCCGTGGACAGGGGGAACGAGCGCTACTTTCTGCTGGTCGTTGACGACTACTCGCGTTACACCACAGTCTTCCCCTTGCACCGCAAGGGTGAGGTCACTGAGGTGCTGATCGACTGGATCCGCGCTGCTCGTCGTCAGCTCAGCGAGAGCTTCGGCTCGGACCTTCCTGTTCTGCGTCTGCACTCCGACAGAAGTGGTGAGTTTTCCTCCGACCTTCTGCGGGCCTTCTGTCGTGCGGAGGGCATCCGCCAGACGTTCACGCTTCCGGCCTCTCCACAGCAAAATGGGATTGCTGAGCGCCGCATTGGTATGGTCATGGACGTCGCTTGTACGTCCATGATCCATGCGGGTGCTCCCCATTTTCTGTGGCCGTTCGCGGTTCAGTACGCGGCGCATCAGATCAACCTCCAGCCCCGGGTCTCCGAGCCGGAGACCACACCTACTCTGCGGTGGATGGGGAAGGTTGGCAATGCGTCTACGTTCCGTGTCTCGGGATCTTGAGCTTTCGTCCGCGACTTGTCTGCGGACAAGCTGTCCTCCCGTGCTGTTCCCTGCGTCTTCCTTGGCTTCCCCCCTGACGCGCCTGGTTGGCAGTTTTACCACCCCACCTCGCGCCGTGTTCTGTCCTCTCAAGACGCCACGTTTGACGAGTCGGTATCTTACTACCGTCTCTTCCCCTACCGCACTGCCCCCCTCCCCCCCTCGCCGCTCTTCCTCACGCCAGGTCCTCCCCCAGTAGACCCCCTCCCCCCTCAGGGTCCTGCCCCCTCAGGTGTGTCCCAGGTAGACGCAGTCGAGCCTGTCGAGGTAGCTGTTGACTCTGGTGCTGCTAGGGGTGCTGAGCCTGCGGGTGCCAGGTCTGGGGGTGCTGAGCCTGAGCGTGCGGAGCCTGGGGGTGCTGAGTTTGGGGGTGCTGAGTCTGGAGGTGCTGAGCCTGGGGTTGCTGAGTCTGAGGGTGCGGAGCGTGAGGGTGCTGAGCCTGCGCGTGTGGAGTCTGGAGGTGCTGCGCCTGGAGGTCCTTCGGGTGCTTCGTCCCGGCGGGAGCCACTCTCTCCACAGCAATTGCGCGAGTGGTTTGCTCGCTGCTGGAGCGGTGCTGCTGGAGCTGGTGGTGCTACGGGCGCTGGAGGTCCGGCTGCTGCTGGAGCTGCTGGGGTTTCTGGAGCCACTGGTCCCGGAGGTGCTCGTACTGTAGGTACTGGAGCTGCTGGGCCTGGTGGTGCTGCTGGGACTGGAGCTGCTGGAGGTGTTGGAGCTGGCGGTACTACTGGACCCGGTGCTACTGGAGGTGCTGGCCCTGGTGCTGCTGGTGCTGCTGGGGCTTCTAGTGGTCCTAGAGGTGCTGGAGCTGGAGGTGCTGGAGCTGGAGGTGCTGCTGGAGCCGGTTCTCCTGGGGGTGCTGGAGTTGGCGATACTGGAGCTGGAGGTGCTGGTGGAGCTGGTGGTGCTACTGGAGTTGGAGCTGACGCTGGGGGTGCTGGTGCTATTCCTGCTGGTTCTGGAGGCGCTGCGCGGTCGCGGCCGTACTTCGTTCCGCTCCTTGAGCAGGTTCTTGGTCTCCCGCCTTCTACTGGTCCTGCTTCTTCCTTAGAGTGTCCACAGCCTGTCCAGTCCGAGTCACAGTTACAACCGGCCTCCACACCACTGCTCCTTCTCCTTACACTGGTCCTACAGGAGGTCTTACGGAGCGTCGTGAGCCTGAGTCTCGTCCTGCGTCGCCTGTTCGTGCTGCTCGCATTGGTCGTCGTGGTTCGCGTCAGCGTCCTCCTCCTGTCCCTCGCACACACCAGATGGCTCTGCGTCCTTCCACTGCTCCGCAGCGTGTCACTCTGCCGTCTCCTCCCGAGTCCTCTCTTTCTGCACTTGCTGAACCGGATTCTGACTCCCTTCGTGCTGCTAGTCCTACTGTCACGCGTCTCCTGGCCACTGTTGTGACTGACCCTTCCTTTGAGTCCACTGCTGCGTCTGCCTTAGTTGCTGAGCTTGTCGACTTTGCTACTCCCTATCGTCTAGACTACGCCGCTAGTCTTGTTGCTGAGTCTGCGTCTTTCTGTCCTCCGTCCGTCGGGGGTGAGTGTGCTCTTAGCACGGATGTCCTTGGGGACAGGCAGGAGGAGTTCCAGTGTTTTGCTGCTGCTTTACCTCATCTCGAGTCCATGCTGCTTGCTCGTGAGGGAGACCCGGATGCACCAGACATCCCGACCCCGCGCTCTTACGCAGAGGCGATAGAGGGTCCCTACTCCTCTCAGTGGCAGACAGCCATGGACGTAGAGATGGCTTCCTGGAAGTCCACAGGCACCTACGTCGACGAGGTTCCCCCACCTGGGGCGAACATTGTCGATGGCATGTGGATTTTCAGGGTGAAGCGGCCGCCGGGTTCCTCGCCTGTCTTCAAGGCGCGTTACGTGGCTCGAGGCTTCAGTCAGCGGCAAGGAGTTGACTGCTTTCAGACCTTCTCTCCCACCCCGAAGATGACCACTCTTCGGGTACTGCTGCACGTCGCTGCTCAGCGTGACTACAAGCTGCACTCTCTTGACTTCAGCACAGCCTTCCTACAGGGCAGACTGCACGAGGAGATATGGCTGCGCCACCCACCTGGCTTTACTGGGTCGTTTCCTGCAGGTACCTAGTGGAGCCTCCGGCGGCCAGTCTACGGTCTCCGCCAGGCGCCCCGTCAGTGGCACGACACATTGAGGACTACGCTTGCGGCTCTTGGGTTTGCTCCTTCCACTGCTGACCCATCATTGTTTCTCCGCACCGACACTACTCTGCCGCCGTTCTACGTTCTCGTGTATGTCGAAGACTTGGTCTTTGCTACTGCTAACACTGCTGGACCGGCCCACGTGAAGTCCGAGCTGCAGAAGAGACACACGTGTACAGACCTGGGTGAGCTACGCAACTATCTTGGCTTGCAGATCACCCGGGACAGAGCACGCCGCACCATTACCTTGACTCAGTCACACATGGTGCAGCAGGTCCTTCAGCGCTTCAACTTCACGTACTCCTCGCCTCAGGCCACTCCTCTGTCTACTCGCCACTCGCTCTCAGCTCTGCCTTCGGATGAGTCCGTATAGCCGAGTGGCCCGTACCCAGAGCTTTTCGGCTGCCTCATGTACCTGATGACCTGCACTCGACCTGACCTGGCATACCCTCTTAGCATCTTGGCACGCTATGTTGCTCCTGGGAGACACCGACTAGAGCACATGGATGCACCTAAGAGGGTGTCTCGCTACCTGTGCAGTACGTCGGGCATGGGGCTCGTGCTTGGAGGACGGGCTCGAGTTGTCCTCACTGGTCACGCAGACGCTTCTTGGGTTGACGACTTGGCTACGCAGCGGTCGTCACAGGGTGACACCTTCAGCCTTGGTTCCGGCTCTGTTTCGTGGCGGTCTATCTGCTCGTCTTCTGTTCTCAGCTCCAGTTGTGAGGCTGAGATCTACGCTGGGGCCATGGCTGCACAGGAGTTGTTATGTGATGCTATTATTTGCATTCACGTCTGTCTGCCTCCCATCATATCTTCGTGTGTTGCATGCGTGGTGTGAGCGTGTGCTAGAATTTGTGTTTGGTGTTGTTTGGATTTTCTGAGTGTGTGTGAATTTTATTTGGCTTGAGCAGATATCTGAAGTGACTCCTCTGCTCAAGAGCTTTCCGACGAACCGAGAATCGCCGCGATCGGAGCAAGAACAAGAAAGATATGATCGTTCGAAGTTTTGATTGAGATGCGGCGACTATGGGAATTTGCGGGTTGACTCAATATGGGGTACAGACTTTTGGGGGTTGGGAAATTCGATACCATCACTGTAGATGATGCCAAGTGGTTGGGAGAAGCCAAACCAGGTTGGCAAGTGTGGCCAAGTTGGGTGAGGTGGATGGCATGAGCTGGGAAAGTGACAAATGTCAAAGTTGGGGTGCCTATAGAGAGGGGAATTGTGTGGTATGGGGTTTCCCTGGTTGGGGACTCCCTTGGGAGAAGAACTGATCGCCCTCACTGCTCTTCCAGTCTCCTTAGGTCAGCTACCCGCGCTGCGTGAGCTGAAAATTCTAGACAACGGTCGCATCACGCATCTCCCGTCATCTCTCTCCGCCAGCCGCACACTCGAGCACCTCTCTCTCCACAACTGCCAAGCGCTCTCATCCTTGCCGAACGCTATCGGCCACATTCCCACCCTAGAACGCGTCGAGCTCAGTTTTCTCAATGCCCTCATGGCGCTTCCAGCCTCCCTGGGGCGCGCCTCTTGTCTTCAGGAGCTCAGAATCGTCGCCTGCAGCCTGCTTGATGCTCTCCCGAGCTCGGTCTCTGCCATGTGCTCCCTGACCAGCCTTACTCTCGACGGCTGCGCTGCGTGGACGCTGCCCAAGGATTTCGGGCAGCTGTCGAATCTGTTGCGGCTGAAGCTGTCCTGCGAGCGACTGACTGCCCTGCCCAGATCGTTCGGGCAGCTGGGGAAGCTACAGGAGCTGAGGCTCCATGCCTGCTACGGGCTAGTCCAGCTGCCCGCGTCTTTTGCAAATATCTCTTCACTTGAAACCCTAGCCATCTACGGGGCAACGTTGCTCACCTCCCTGCCGCCCTGCTTCAAGCAGCTCCCGCAGCTACGACTCGTGGAGATGATAAATTGCGCCATACCGAGACTGCCAGATAGGATCGGGCAGCTGCCGAAGCTGGAGGTTTTCAAGGTGGGAAGCACAGAATCTTTCACGAGAAATGACGCGGAGCCAGGGCAGCCCGCGTGGCCACCTCCCTCGGCGCTCACAGTGACCATGCAGGATGAATCTGCCTCAATGTTCAAGCTGATGGACGAGCCGCTCCTATTGGACCAGCTGGATGAAATGCTCTTGGGGCGCTGCCTGCTGCACTGCTTCCCAATGTCCTTCACCCAGCTCACCAGCCTGCAGCAGCTAGTGATGGACGGGTGTGACGCGCTGGAGGGCCTGCCTTTTGGGTTGGGCTACATGGCTGGGCTGCAAGTGCTGCAAATCAAAAACTGCCCGCAGCTGCGCTGCTTTATGTCCCTCCTGCCCGCCCCTCCTCCTACTTCCACCTCCGCACGTCCAGCCCCTCCGCTCCCAATGCTTCACAGCTTGGAAATCTCCATCTGCCCGAGTCTAACAAGCCTTCCGCGCAGCCTCGATGCTCTGCCGAGGCTGGAGCGAGTCACCCTGGATAAGTGCGGCAAGCTGGGCTTTGCAAATCACCTCTCCGCGTACCATTGATCCTCCTCAACCTCACATGCTACCCCCATCGCCCTCCCGCCCTCCGTCACCACCGTCTCACTGCTTGACGTCTTCCCTGTAGCACGCTACCTGCCAGACTCATTCCTCACCCTCTCGCGCCTCACCCATCTCAACCTGCACCAGTTCAACTCTCTCCAGGCGCTATTTGCGCCTCGCCCGCATAGCGCCCAGGCTGCAACTAGCCTTGGAGAGCTGGACCCGGGCACGGAAGGCAATCAGGTTTACGGTTTCCCGGTTGATCCCCTACCTGGTCAACCAGCCAGATTGGCGCTCCTCTCGTCTCTGCAGCACCTGGCTATCGTGAAATCGCGCCTGCCGTTGCTGCCGAGTAACCGCAGTGACCTCCGAAGCCTCAAAGTGCTCATTCTTGAGAGGTGCATTTGCATGCCCTCCCTCCCCGACTCCTTACCTCACCTCTCCAACCTCGAAAAACTCGATATGAGCACCCTTCCTAGGCTAGCACGCCTGCCCAAGAATCCCGGGCAGCTGAAGTCCCTGAAAGAGCTCACTGTGGAGGCGTGCAATGTGCTGGTGGGGCTGCCAGCGTCCATCGGTCTCTTCCGCCTGCGCCGCCTGCCAGAGTCCATCTCTCGCCTCCCCGCCCTCGTGATTCTCTCACTGGAAGATTGTGAGGAGCTGCGGGCGCTGCCGGAAGGGCTGGCTGGTGTGGGGACTTTAAGGGAGGTGATCGTGGGAGGGTGCGGCGGGCTCAAGCACGTGCCGCAGTCGCTGCTGGATAGGCAGCATGTGATCGACCTGCAGGGCATTAACTGACGGGAGGAGGTGGTGATAGGCAAGGCGGGTAGAGTGGATATATAAGGTGGGCTGAAGGAACACGGCCTTTATGGTAGTGGGTTTTGGGGGGTAAGGGTAGGTTGCTTGCTGGTGTTGGTTAGGTTTCTTCATATGGTTCAAGGGTTGGGTGTGTGGTTATTCTGATTGTGCTAATTCCACACTAATGCACACTGTGGTTGTGTTTTGTCAAAAAGAGAACTTTATGGTGTATTCAATGAAAGGGGAAACAGATATACTTATGATTCAAGACTAGAGCAGCATCCTGAATTTGACAAAAGACTACAATGGTGCATGTTCTAGCTTGCAGCTACCGGTGAATCGGGCCATCGAGACAAGTTGATCCCCACCAGCATCCAACTGAGTTCAAGGCACAAGCTCGCAATCATTCGTCTAGCCTCTGCTATACAAGGCAAAAAATCACCCAGCCACCAACTTGCACACACCTCCACTCTATCCACACTCCTTGCCTACAAGCCTCACCTCAATGTCATTCACCTCCTTTTCCCCCCATCATCACTCTCTACAACCATAACCCCCAATCTGTGTGCACACATCCTCATTCCACACCCAACTTCCCACCAGTTGTTGCAGCAACAGAGACCTCAGTTCTCATGATACAATACAATGTGACTGTCGTGCCATCCAGGTCCCGCCTCTCCATGCCCTACTGGTATATCCACCATCTCAGCATTGACTGATCAGAGCAGTATCTAATCAAGACGAACATTCATGCAGATCTTACAAGCTCCTTCATACACTCTATACCCTCTCCTCTGTGAAGACACTTGCACACCCTGCAACCAAACAGCCATGCATTAATAATGCAGCTCCCCTCATGCAGCCAAGCGAGACACTACTCACCCCTGATCTCAACCCTCGCCCGCTGCTGTTGCTGCTGCCGTTGCTACCACTGCTGCCGCCACTACTGCTACCACTGCTGCCGCCACTGCTGCTGCCACTGTTACTGTGCGCTATACTCGCCTCCCTCATTGCTCTGTTGCTCGCCCTTGTCCCCTGCTTCCCCACCTCCCCTCCCCTTCCCCTCCTTTTCCGGCTCGCCTCCCCCTTCCTTTCCCCTTCCCCGTCAGCCCTACTGATGAGTGGGGTAGTAACTAGGAATGTTTTTGTGGCAATGCAATCTCGGATAATTTGGATTACCCCCGCTGGGTTCCTCCCAATGCCTCGTCCTCACTCCTGATTTTCAAGTCGGAGCAAGCACGCACTGGAAGACATGTCTAGGCACAAGGGAGAATCGAGATTGTAGTGAATGGCCAAGTCATGGATGGCCATTCGCTTCAATACCTGAAGTCGATCGAATCACGTGACGTTGCTTCAAAGACATCTCGTCGGGAGAATGCTTGCTGCTGGTTGATTTGATTTGAGGCTGGTCGGAAACCAGTGCACGTGCGGCATCTGTATAAATAATCTCATGCTTTAATCAAACTTTATTTTTTTCTTATAGCTCCTCACGGCTACTTCAGTTACATGGTAGGGCATTCGCAGGCTTGGACAGTCGCAGGCATGGACAGTCGCTGGCTTGGATAGGCAAACCCTAGATTGGTGAGTGCCTAGGTATGTGACAGCATGGTGTATGAGCCAATGAGAAGGGTCCAGGCTAGCAATGCGACAAAGGGCAACACGCAGAAGGGTCCAGGCTAGCAATGCATCAAAGGGCAAAAGTGTGTCGGCATGCTGCTGAAACCCCAAGGCCACTCGGTATGTAACAAAGTTACAAATCGCTGCTGATACATGTGCGAACACCATGGTTTGTACGCTAAAAGCCTCGCTGTGGAGAGACTAGGTGCTCATGTATTCACTGAAAATTCAAAATGCTTACCTTAATTTAGGTGTTTTCTTGAAGTGCCTCGTTCTTGCGGCGGCTCTCAGAGTGAACCAGCAGCGGCAGGGAGAGTCGGTCGATCTGCAGTGTGCGACGATTGGTGCAGTGCGTGATGGCTGACGATTGGTGGCGATTCTGAAAGTGGTGCAGGGGAAGGGAGGCAGAGAGACGAGGGAGCAAGGGCAAGAGTTATAATTGCTTCAGCTTATTACTCGAACAGAACAAGGAAAACCATTAAGTCACTCAGGTTGCGAAGGGGGGGCATCCAGGTGAAGGCGCGGCAAAGTTTAAGTTGGAAACATGGGTAGAAGGAGAAGAGGCGGCAAGGACAGGACAGGTGATGCAAACTGGTAGTGGAAAGAAGAAATGCGAATGCAGGCATGAATTGGCAAACAGTCGCCAGAGGCAAGCATTGTGAGGCCGAGAGCGCAGGGCAGCGGTGATGGAAGGGGATGAAGGAGTGTGGTGAAGATATGCACGTCCCATGCACACAATGGAGGCAACGGGCATGTTGAATGGAAGAAGCAGACGATGCAATTACTTCTAGTAAGACCACCTAAAGCAGCACTTATGCTGCTCAATCCATAGGCAAAGGCACCTTCATTATCCAAGTTAAGTGAAGAGGTCGATTTTAAGCAAGCTCGCTTGGCGGCTAGTCAGGGATTTCAACAGGCCGATCCTCCCTTCCCCCGCAACACTTTTGGCCACCAATATCGCGGAATCTGCACGGATCGGCAGTCGGATCCACCGATCCACACAGATCGGCGGTAAAAATCTCCAATCCGCACAATTTGTTGGGAAAGTTTGTCGATCCGCGGGGTCAGAATGCGTCAATCTACGCGGATCGACGGTCAACATCGCCAATCTGTGAAAATCGTTGGACTAAATTGCCGATCCGCACGGATCTACCCGCAGAAATTCATACGAGGACATAAAATAAGAAGGGATGTGCGATGGCGCGACTTTCAGCAATGTGTCACCGCATATGGACTTGATGCATATGCAATAACAGTAGAATGATGGTATAGTGTGGGCTTCATACTGCAACCATGGGAAGACTAGATAGTTATAAGCGTATGAAACAGGATTAAATAATAGGTGTAGCATGTAGCGAAGTTACTGTTAGGGAGGTGTGTAGAAGGGGGGAAATGGGATAGGAGCAGTCGGGATGAGGAGGGAGAAGGCATCGAAGGGCAAAATGTGAAACCTGGTAATCCCAACCCCGAGCCGCACATTTGGAAATGTGCAGCTTGGGGTTGGGTAAGGTCTCTCACTGCCAACCCCTCCATGCTTTCTCGCTGTCATTCTCTCGAACTAGTGAAAGTTGTTGTCTCACGCTCTAGCACACTGCAGCACGGCACTAAGAGGGAACCTACGGGGTGAGGGACGTAGCTCTTTCATTACAGCGAGAAAGCCTCTTGCAGCGTAGTCGAATATGGACAAGTACGAGCTGCGCTGGGGTAGGGTGTTCAGCCGATGTGAGGAGGAGCGGCCGCGACGCGAGCCATCACGGGAACGAGGGCGGTCCTGGGAACGATCGCCGCGCCGACCCGCCTTCTGCGCGGATCGGGTCCCCCCTGCGAGGGACCGTCGAGGGGAAGGAGCAGAAGATGCGAGAGCAGGCGTCAACGGCCACGCCGGAGGCATGGATCGAAACGCGTGGCTGCGAGAGAGCGCCCGCGGGACTGGCGTGGAAGGCGGAAGCCACCGCGACGCAGGGGTGTTTCACTCGCCGGAAGATCGCGGATGGCGCCGTGATGAGAGAGGCCGTTGGGGACGGGGAGGCAACGGCAGCGGCGACGCTCGCGAAGGGGGGCTCGCAAGAGAACGCAGCTCAGGAGGTAACACAGGAGCGGGACGCGGAAGGAGCTGAGAGGAACCAAGGGCTGCCGGTCGAGGAGGCGGATGTAGAAGATGATGAAGTGCAGTTAAAGGGAACGGGCGAGGCGGAACTCGGGCCGGCGGAAGAGAATGCGGGAGCAAGTCAGGCGGCGGTCGAGGAGTTAAGGACCACGCTGCAGGAATCGCGTGGTCAAGACGATAGCCGTGGGGAGGGACAGCGCGCGGAGGGCTCCAGAGGGCAGGAGCAAGGGGCACCAGACGAGGGCGCTCGGATGCACAGGCGTCGAGACCGCACGGTAAAGGAAGGCCCGTCGACCCTAGGCCTGGCCCGCCCGTCGACCCTAGGCCCCGCGCGCCCCGTCGACCCTAGGCCGCGGCCCGCCCATCGCCCCTGCTGCCCCGCGAGCTCGTCGACCCTAGGCCCCGGCCCGCCCGTCGACCCTAGGCCCCGGCCCGCTCGTCCCCCTTACTGCCCCATGCGCCCGTCGACCCTAGGCCCCGGCCCGCCCGTCACCTCTGCTGCCCCGCGCGCCGCCCCTTGCGGCCCGCCCGTCGACCCCTAGCCCCGCGCGCCGCCCCTTGCGGCCCACCCCTCGCCCCAGCAGCCCCGCGCGCCGCCCCTGGTGGCCCTCTAGCCGCCCCTGCTGCCCTGCTAGCCGCCTCTTGTGGCCCTCTCGCAACCCCTGCAGCCCCGCGTGCCGCCCCTTGCGACCCGCCCGCTGCCCCTAGGCCCGCCGGCCGCCCCTAGGCCCCCGAGCCGCCCCTCTTGCAGCCTACACACCGCCACTTGCAGCCAGCTTGCCGCCCCTTGCTGTTGCCTGCCCTGTTCCCTCACTGGCAGGCTCCTGCCCGCCCTGCGTGCTGCACCGCTATGGCTTCTCTCCGCGTTCTCGCATTCGATCATGAGGGCCGCCCAATCCAGTTTGACACGTGGCTCGACGACCTGCAGCTGTACCTACTGAGCGACTCTACGGACAGCGTTTCGTTGTTTGACCACACGTCTGGCGCTGCTCCCGCCCCTCCCGCCACAGCTGACAGTGCGACCCGCTCACAGTGGCTTACTCGTGACGCTGCTGCTCGCTTAGCCATTCGCAACCACCTACCGTTAGCCGAATGCGCTAACTTCGGACAGCACATGACAGCACAGGCACTGTACGACGCTGTAGTCGCCCGTCACTCCTCGCCTGCCACTGCTGCTCTAGGCCGTCTTCTACTGCCCTACCTGTTCCCCGAGTTGTCCGCCTTTGCCACAGTAGAGGACCTGGTTTCCCACCTTTGCACTAGCGATGCTCTCTAC